TCTGAAGCATTCCATAAGATTCTCACTCAACCCTCACAGCAACCAGCAGTGAGAGGGAAACAACTGGTCCTATTTCCCCAGATACCCACTCTGCACTTGAGGCACCTACAGCTGTAGTCTTGCAGCTGGCTCCTTGGCCTCCCGTCACTGCTTCCACACCCAACTGACCAGGTCTCCACGAGTGTTCTACTTGGCCTCATACTGGCCGTCATTCAAGGGTCTCTGGTATATAGAACACATTTAAACTTCTGTTCCTCTTGTCCTCTCCCAAGACAATGACATGATTCATAAGATGCTGATTCCTAAGTATGAAAGTTTTAGTTCCCGAGAAGATTGTGAAGGACTGCATAGGTAGCTTTGAAATATTCAGTATTCACAATGATATTGCAAAACTTCACAGTAAAGACTAATAGCATAAAAACCATCAGGAATTTAAAAAGTAAAGTGTGAAGAGTTAGATTAGTTTATCCGCCCCCCCCCAAAAAAAAAAAACCTGGCAATGCAGTTCTTCAGGGTTTTGAATAAAATTTATTTATTTAAAGAATATGGTCAAATCGCTGTAAAAACAATATACATAAATATTCATGACAACATAATGCTCAATGATTTGGTAATATTTTTCAGGAAGTTTTATTCAGGTGGTACATTTCTGCTTTAGGACTGTTATTTTGCTTGAGATAATTTTCTACTTAGTATTTTCAATTAGTAACTTAAAAAAACACATTTTAGAAATAGTCTACCAAAAAGCTTTGAATTTCATCACTGCTGTGTTTGCTTCCCTAGCCTATAAACTAAAAAATTTGTTTCCATTTTCATCTTTTGAAAACTTAAAGACTTAAAAGAATGCTAGAAAGATTGTATTTGAAGATACATTTATAATAACTATAAAGGTGAGCTGTAAGCGAAAAAAAGATCAAGGTATAGTACAATATGCATGGTTTACTCATATTCACCTAAAAATAGTTGTATAAATATGTATAGCCATAAAATGTTTTTTAATAGATACAAAAGAGAAACACTATTGTATATCATTTTAACCACTTGCATGTTTTGGTCATGTGCGTATCATTTCTTTAATATAAAAATAAGTTAATTAGGGCAAAGGTTAGTAGAGAAAATGAGTTCCTACTGACCATTTGCCAATCATCATCATACAAAACCACAAAGAAAAATGCAGGTGAGGTGCACTGCCCCCAAAGATCCTCTCACAAAGCTGTCAAGTTCCAAGGCCTCTGTGGCTGGCTCAGGACGCTGCTGCCCTGCATGATGCCCAGGCCTGGTACCAGAACTCCTGCACATTCTAACAACCTCAGTTAGCATCCCCACAGCACATAACGACAGGGATGGAAAGAGAAAATGTGAAAAGACTGTGGAATGAGAAACAAGCTGAACTGACAACTGAGTGAAAGCTAAGCTCCACTGGGTGTTATTATGCGTAGGCAACAAATTGAAACCACTTTGATTTCAATTTCCAAGATGATTCATCAGGAGTTTGTCATATTTAATTCCAAACTCAGCAGTGCAGTTTTATGCAGAGGAAGATGCTGAAAAGATTCAAATAATGAGGCATCAGGCAGTCAACTGAAAACTCTTATGTTCTTCAAACATCCAGCTATTATACCTACCTGTACTTCCTTTCAACCCTAGAGGTTCAGGACTCAAAACCACAAATCTGAAAGCTTAAAGAGCTTCCTGACACTCAGTTGATATGATTCCTGAAGTTATTCACTTGCCAATTAATGGTCACTTTTTAACTACAGTGTCCTGGGGACACAGGGGGCAGTGGTATTCCTACACTCAAATAAGGTAAGATGCACATCAATTATAATATCCCAAAAGAACTACTTGCCTGGGGCACATGCAAACAGCAAAGGGGGGGAAAAGGCCGGTGTCTGTGGTGGAGGCAAGGAAGGCAGTACCTGTGGGCTGACTCATCCATATAGAGTGTGGAAGAAGCGGGTAGCTTGCAGTACAGGTTGTATATGCATGCACAGAGGCACACAGAAGGATTTAAATGCAGAGAAATAAAAGTTTTGAACAGCTAAACATAGGCTTCAAAAGAGGTTGCATCAGGAAAGCACCTGGAAGGGCAAGGCAGAGCCAGCCAGTTCACTGAGGATCTTATCTGTCACTTACAGGAGCTGAGGTTTTACCTCCAGACTCAGAACTACTCATGAAAATATCCTGCTGGAAATCACCCACACACTAGCATGCCAGAGAGATCACTCAGCTCCACAAAAAGTGACGCTGCCTCCTTTGCCACAAAGCCAGAGTGGCAGCACATCCAAGCAACAGGCTGGGAAAGCCTGGAGTCAGAGCTCTCAATGACAGGACAGTGCTTTCCACCAGAGCACCTAGGGAAGTCGCCACAGTTTTCTGAATCACTGTCTCCAGAGAAGATTCCTTTTCTGTAAAATGGGATTGCTCAAAGGATCAAAGACCAGAATGAATGTGGAAAAAAACAACTTAAAAGAGTCAAGTACCTCTTCAGGGTTAGTTTTATATTTGTACTGTCCATTGGCAACTCCCGCAAACTTGCTCCTAAACTAACTGTTGCTGTCACAGCCCTTTCTGACATCTTTCTTGGCCAGAGAGAAGGGCCCCCACATAGCCATTAACAAAGGCTGACCACAGTCTGCATGTATATAACTTTTCTCCAGGGTCAGGCAAGTCCTCTAGGCCTTGAATTTTATAGAGTAAAATTTAAACATCAACTCAAATACCTTACAAGAAATAATACAGTACGTATGACAGAAAAGTGACCCTTCTGTGCCTTTGGTCCTGCTTATTCCTGTCTGGAATGTTCTTCCCTCAGGTATCTGCACAGTATTGCTTATGTCCCCTTTTCTTTAGTCAAAGTCATCTTCTCAACTGAGGCCTTTCCGGACCCTATTTAAATAGTATTTTTCACACATGCACATCCCAGCTTCTTCTACTTCACTTTGCTTTTGTTTTAGTACCTATTTGATTCACCTCTTCTGTTTATGATGCCTTTAGAATGTAATTCCTAAAAGGGGGAGGGCTCACTATGCTTCGTTCACTCTTGCTTCTTCCAGAACACTTCCTGGCACACAGCAATCACAAGATAAATATTTGATGAATACACAATATGTAAATTCAATTATCTTGTATGTGCTGTAGAATTACCTATGAATTTTCAGTCACCTACCCAGTAAACATTTCTATTTATATTCCAGGTCCTGCTCTATGCATTGGGAAACCCAATAAAGAAAGACAAACGCTATCCTCAAATAGCTCATTATCCAGTGAGATGAAAAGGAAAAACTCAAAAACTAGCATACATGTGCCAAGACAGAGGCAAGTATAAGGCAGTGCCAAAGCACACGGAGTCCCCTCACCCTAGGAGTACTGAAGAAAGCTATACTGGTCAGGCACCTACCAAGTAGCTTAGCAAAGGCATGGTGGGAAAAGCACTTTGGGCAGAGAGTACAACATGCCTGAAGACAGGAAAACGAAGGAAGAACACAAAGTGATGTGTAAGAGGCAGACATGAGTTTAGGTAAAGAAATGAGACTGAATTAGGGTGAGGACATGAGGTAGAGAGGAAAAGAAATGGAGAGGCACTAAATCTCCTCACTCTCTTAACACGTCTCTCTAGAAATTTTTGCATATCTTCTTGCTGCCACTCTAATCCACAGCTCCTATGACTCCTTTACATGCACAGAGAGTGAGTGCCGAGGTCACTGAGGTCAGGCACCAAGCCAGTAGGAGAGGGTGGCAAGTACAAGATGCTCTAGGAGATCAACAATCTAGCTGACTGGTGTTCTTTCAATTCTCTATATTCAAGAAAGGTACAGCAAGCACCATGCACAAAGTAGTACCTTTATATAAATGACATAAATTGAAATGAAAGAGAAAGACCTCATTTCAGCACATGCTTTCCACTGAGATAATTCAATCAGATATATTTTGAGAACCTGACCTTCTGGGGGGGGGGGGAATCAAGTTTTCAAGTGAAATAAGTAACTGAACAAAGTAGCAACTATAAAAAAAAAATCAAATTCCCCCAATAAAGTCATACATCAACTGAGTAAAAGAAGAAAACATTCCTATTTCCTAGCCAAACACAATCATGATAATAAAACTATGCCTAAGAACAATGCACACCAAATGATGACAGTGTCCTTGGGAGACTAAACTGTGGTGGGTAGCACACCGGCTGTCCCTCTTCTCTTAAATAAAAACTGATTCAAAAGGAATGTGTTCAGACACTTGGAGTAAGAATTCTTAGATTCGTTCTGGATGACTGTGGCAGGTAAGTTATTGTCTGCTTTAGGTCAAGAAAGGACAATCTTCCCTCAATAAAATTTGGATCGTAGACTGTGCGTCTAGTGGATTTGAAAGTTTACTTATCTAGTCTTTAAGTACTTATTTTCTTAAAATAATCCAATATAAAAAGTAGATCATTTCCTAATGCTGATCTTTAAAACTTGTCTGTACAAGGAAACTTGGATGGCTATAACTTCCCATAAGCATCTGTTAAAACTTTTGTATCTACAAAAGAAGGTACATATATCTTGAGTCATAGTTAGATACTTCTGCTCAGAAATTAACAATTTTTTTTTTTTTAAGGAATAACATGTTTCAACATTCTATCTATACAATTACTATTGTCATACCTCTGGCTTTAAAATAAATGAAAGTACAATATGGCTCAAAATATTACATGGCCTACTTTATTAGATAGCCATCTTCCTTTGAAACAGTGAATTAAAAAGCCCATTCTTCATTTAGCCTCTCCTAATTAAGCACTTAGAAAATAAATGAAAGAAAAGTTAGGGAAAAGAATTGATATTCATAATAAATATCAGAAGCTCTACCTCTTACTGATACCTGGAAAAGCAACTGTGTCTAACAAAAAAGGCAAGGTCTGTCTGCCACTTGGAAGCATTTGGGATACAAAGGGAAAAAACATGTTTTGACTATTCTAGGAATGTTTGAACTTTCTCATCAATAACATGGAAAACATGAGGACTCACCCTGTACAGCGGATGGCACTTGTCCCTGAAACATGGAGCCAGTCGGGCATAGATCTGCAGGCTGTAGTAATAGGCTGCTAGCTGGAGAGACAAGGCCGAGTGGGACTGCTTTTCAAAGCACCTGTTAGCATCTAACACCTAGGAAGGGACAAGATATAATTAACTCAGTTGAAAGAAAATTAAAGAGATCATTTAAATTGTTCCATTTCTAGTCACTGCCCTGGATTTTGATAAAGTTCTTATCCCACCAACTCCAACTGCTGGGCAACCTAACGTGATGATATGAAAACTCAGAAGGTACTATGAAACAGATCCCATGCATGTAAAAGTGTATTTAAATATCAACACTTAAGCTACATTGTAGGATTCACTGTCTGGATACTGACTAGGGTCCTTTCAGCACTTAAGAAACACCAGAAGGAAATGGCATATTTATAAACGATTTTACTGATAAAAATCTCCAGTACAGATTTTCTGTTTACTCACTTTTAAGTACTTCTTTAATGGAAAAGGTAGGCTTACCTGTGGTAAGGCAAGGAGGTATGCAAGAGCCAAGGTCATATCATTTGGCAAAGCGTCACTTGCCAGCTGCAAAAGAACTAAATGCAGAGAAAAAAATGCATGATTGAGCTTGAGGATCCATAAGACATCCACAGTCACTAAGTGTCATGGTTTGAGCCCTAGTGATTGCAACAGATACTTAGTTTAGGAGGACTCTTTAAGAACTTTTATGAAAATCTATTCAGCACCATCTAAACTGATCACATAAAACCATTAGATAGCCAGGTACAGTAGTGCACACTTGTAATCCCAGCAGCTCGGGAGGCTGAGGCAGGAAGATTGCAAGTTCAAAGTCAGCTCAGCAAAAGAGGCACTAAGCAACTCAAGTGAGACCCTGTCTCTAAACAAAATACAAAATAGGGATGGGGATGTGGCTCAGTAGCCAAGTGCCCCCGAGTTCAACCCCCAGTAGGAGGGGGAGGGGGAAACACTGAATAATAATCTTGCCTAACTGGAAACAAGTATGCCATCGGTCACTTATACACCAGGAAATCCTGTCAGGGTGACTGCTGCAGTCTAAGTGTAAAGATGCCAGTAAGCGTGGCGGTAAAGACCCAGGCCATGCTGTATGATCATGTACATTAAAGACAGCTACTATGGAGGGTTATGAGTACAGTGCAGTCAAACAGCTCTGAGAATACAAATGTAGGATAAATCTTTTGATTACTATAACCCGATTTTGTTCCTTCCAACAACACTTCTCTTCACACTCCACAAAAAGAAACCAGTCTTGTGCTTTGCTTACGAGTTTGTTGGTGTGGACTTTCCCTACCTGCTTATCATTTGGGTATAACTATAGGTCAAAATTTCAAAATACTGGAAATATTTACATAAAAAATTACAGTGGCCCTATAAAATACATGAGCATAGCATTTTAGAATTCTTAAAGCTAATCTAGATCTTAATCTAGACAAAATTTGATGATTTAAACAATAATTAGATTATGTAACAAGAATATGCTTTGTGTCTGTGCAATTCTTTCCCAAACCCATAACTCCAGTCTAATCATAAGAAAATCAGACAAAGCCAGATTGAGGCAAAATTCTTACAGGATGCCTGGCTGGTTTTCCTTGAGACTACTGAAGGCATGAAAAACAAAACTGAAAAGCTGTCATAGAACAAAGGCAACTGGGGAGATGAGACAAAGAAATGCAGTGTAGTTCCCTGGATTGACTCCTGGAGCAGAAGGAGGACATTAATGGAAAAACTTATGAAATCCAAAGAAGAGTGGCTCCAAGCACTCACTGAAGGCTTTTGTTCTCTCTGGAACCCTCTGTACCCAGGACTGTGGTACTCCTGCATGGAGGGGAGCAGGTTGCCTTCCTTCCCTTTCCAAACTTTCCCAACTCATTTCTCTCCCAAAGCACCTAGTTATGACTCTCACATCAGCAGGCAATGCAGCGTGCCAACCCTTCCCCCCCCCACTGCCACTCCCTTCATCCTTGAGCTCAATTTTTACTAATAGAATTTTTATTTGGAAAAAAAAAAAGTGTCACCAAACAATAACTCTGTTACTGTATCCCATAAGTGAAAGAAAGAGCAATTGCAACAAAAGCATTCCAACAATCTTCTCTCAAGAGCCTGACAGCAGGACTATTCAACCTACTTCACCTAGTTTTTTTTTCCACTTCCATCTTAATATTATTTAGATATTTTCATTCTTCAAGCATAAAAACAGACAGTTTTCAAAAAGTATATCTGAACCCATTTATCCAAATTAGGACCATCTCTTCAAAGGAGTCCCTATTTCAGGTAGCTGCTCTCCAGCTCCTTTCTTAGAGTTGTGGTTAGACCCAATCTCAGACCCACCTGGGAAATTAAGTTCCATTATTGACAATGTATTCGTCACATCTATTCTATTATCACATCAACTCAATTTTTCTACAAATTAATGTGTATATGGCAAGGGGTAGTCTGAAAAATATGCTAGAGAACAAATTTCAAAATAAAACAACCCAATGAAAAACAAAGGCAACATCTCCCCCCACCCAAAAGCAACGAAGTAATGATAACAGTCAGAATAAATGTTTACAGGAGTTATTCTTAAAGGGAAGACTCCAAATACCTAAATTCCAGCAAGTTTACAGTTACACTACATCACAACTACACTCACAAAATGGTCAATATTCTTAAATATATATAAATGAATACAAAGTTTATAGCAAGCTAAGGAACACAGGAAGAAAATTTCCAGGAGCTCAAACTCCTGACAAAAATCACCCTCAGAGAGCTGCCTAAAAGGGTCACTGTCACCAAGCAGTGAAGATAGATATGTGTGTTCCCAGTCAATAACACCCATACAGACGTCATACACACCACTGTGTGAATCATGCCTTTCACTTTTCTATTTCATGATGCTTTGACCTGGAGAAGGTAATCCTGGAGGAAGTGCCCTCTCAGGGCTAATTGCTAGAGAGAATAAACAACTCATCTGTGAGCAGTTTTGACATGGAAATCAACCAATTCAGGGCCCATACTCTGAACCCTCCTCTAGGTAGTGTTTTATATTCCAGGCAGCATTAATCTGTCCTAACACCTGGAGTAAGTACCAGTAAACCAGCTAGAGACTACCCCTGTAAGCTTAGAGATGCCCAAATTAGCCATACTGTCCAATCAAACTTGCCCAAGCTTGTCTACCAGGCTAAACCCATTCCCTCCATGAAAACCACAATTGAGGCTTTCTGTATGCTTTCCCCTGGCTCCTTCTGCCTTTGACCCACCCAGGTTTCCCCATGTGTAGTATACCATGCCTCCTATTTTGGGAATCTTAGTATCAATCTCTTACATTTTAACAATCATTTCCATGCCTGTGTCTCCCCCCATAACTGAAGAAAAAAAATCCCCAGCATTTTAGAACAACCACTCAGACAAAACCTATGAACACACAATGAATTTCTGGCCAACAAAATCCAGTAGAATGATATACCAGTGCTCCAGAGCAAAGGCCTGCCAGGAAGTCGAGATTGCCAGAGAAGTTCTCACTGTTCTTATGATCATGCCACAAAGAGTTCAGGCATGTGACTCAAAGTAGCAGGCATGAGTTCATTAGAAAGGACGGGAAAAGGGGACATGCTCGAGAGAGTGTATGGCAGACCTCTTTGGCCCTCATATTTTACTGGGGGGTTACAGGGGAGTTTTCACAGAGTCCCCCTCAGGTCTACCTCTTGACTCTTGGCTGCCAGCTATACAATAGCAGCGTTTCAGGTCCCCTGTGTGCATAACAACTCTAGGTCACTTTGGCCCATGCTGACCAGTTCTAATTGGAATCTGTTCTCATAGATTTCTTTGGTTAGAGAAAATTATCCCTCTCTCCTCGAGTTCTGGGATCTAATCTGTGTAAGGGTTACAAAAGTACCCTCTACCCCACTCTTAAAGAATCACTTGTATGCTTCTCATGATCATTTCGGGTCTGCATTTCTCCTTCAGATAACAGGGTGCTTGCTAAGAAATGTAACATATCCTATTGACTTAAGGCAGGCAAGGATGTGGGTGATTTGTTTTTTTAGAAGACAGTTATGTCAAGGGCTAGCACAATGGGCTCACTTTACAGAATTATTCCTTTAACCTTGTATTCCCAGAGCTCCAACTGTCTGTAACTATCACCAGGAGGAAAAAACATTCAGAACCATAAAGTCCTAAGATTTGAGTTTCAGCATTTGGAATGTTTTGGACATCAGAAGGTTATGTCATACACATATTGTATATTACATGACAATGTCATCAGAGTGATCTGGAAGAACCCAGTAATCAAAGACATTAATATTTCTGTTGCAAAATACTTGAACACTCAAGTAAGTAGGATAGGCAAAGACTATGAATACACTTCACATCAATTTAGTTCAAGTTTTGAGGCCACACAAGTTACAAAGACCCTACTGGTTTTCATAGCACCTTGGGTATTGGGTTTTGGCATTTTTTGCCTCATATGTAAATAAGGATTAAATGAGGGAAACACTTTAAAGTGCACATCAGCTCTCTAGCATGTAGACAGCACCCAGTAGATTCCCTTCCTCCCTCCATAAACAAAAGACTTGAGAAAGCAAAAATTTTATTTAGGACACATCTGATTTGCCCCTGAAAATGACTGATAATAGGTTATTCCATTAACAACCACCACAGGGGTAACAAAGGTAATACTTCTATTTCATATAAATCATAATTACTAATGAATAAACAACTGCATTTAAGCAGGAAGATTACTTTCACTCAGAAGAGATGGCAGGCTTAAAGAGTAACACATGATTAACTGATGCAGTTCTGTTACTGCATTTATTGTTATTTTGTAGTTATTACATTTATTGTTACTTAGCAGCTTCTCACAAAGCACTCAACAATTATGTGAATTAGCTACTCCTCAAACATTGTCCGTGGAAGAAGTTGCGGTTTTCTGTGTGTGTGTGTGTGTGTTTGTGTGTGTTACATATATATTTAATACATAAGTATATATGTTTAGGACTGCATAAAAGAAAAATAATTCTTCCCTTGGAAACTAGCCATTCTAACAAATTCAGCAGAGCAGTGACCTGGATCATGATCTCTGACTATGCCTCATGGCTGCGTTTGCACTAAGAACTTCCCATGTAAAAGTACAGGTCAAGATTGCTCAGTTGCTATGGTGACACCCAGCCTGAGGAAACTGTGCAAAGGCACAGAGTTCTATCAGTCGGGACCTTGAACTCAGATACCATCTCCTAGGGATGGAGAATTCTGAGCTTAAAAAAATAACCCTAATGTCTCACCAGTGCTGTGTCCCTCAGTCTACCTGCTTTGCAGAAACTTTCCCAAAAATAACCTTTTGATGATAAAACCTATATAATAAACGTGCTGAAGTAGCTCTGGGTCACTGTTCCTCCATTAGAGTACAGTGTCCCACCTTTCTCTATATACATGATCGTCTTTTCTCAATCCCCCATCACCCCTTGCAGATTTCTGAATTAACGGCTATGGCAGAGAGGTTGCAGCAGAGAGGTTGCAGCAACAGTCTCCTTTCTTTACCTGCTAAACTTTCTAAATGAATGATCTGGTCCACTGTATCCAC